GGGTAACAGTGGCCAGGGAACTGGTCAGTGTGGACAGCTGCGTCTTAAGTTGGATGACCCGGCGATCAGTGTCTGCCACCTGTGGTGTCGGCTCTGAACATCCACTGCTGCTGGTGCTTACGCCACTTTCAGACCCACTTGCCTCCTCAGACTGCTGGGGTGAAGTGTGTACAACAGCCCCAGCTGTGGCTCCATCTACAGCACAGCTTTGATCGTCCTCGATTTGGTCTCCTTTAGTGCTGTTGCTCGTCACGCTAGTGGCTGTTTCAGCAGAGGCTGCTGTATCCAGGCTGTCTTCACTATGAAGTGAACATCGGTCATCTCCAAGATCAGAAGGCAAAGCTCTGCTTCCTGAAGCTTCACCAAATGAGAGGTTATCAACACGACTTAAATCGACCTCTTGAGAAATGGTCAGAACCTTCAGACTGGCTTCCAAGGCTTCTTTTTCTTTAAGCAGGCTTTGGTAAGCTCTGACAACATCTTTAAAGCGTGTCTGATACTTTACAAGCTGCTTCTTCTGCACTTCAATGGTTTCCAGGAGTTCTTTTTTGCTTGGGCCTCCACCAAAGCTCATACCGAACTTCTCCATGGTTAATCACCGTCAGTCAGGTTTCATACTCTCCGATATGATCTCCACCTGCTAAGTAAACACAGATTTATTATGATTGTGAAACGAAGAAGGGCAATATGAATCAAGCAGCATCTTTCTTAATATAAAGAGTTCAGATGCAAAAACATCTTGTTATTTTCCTCTCAAATTAGCGTTTTTCTCTCCAACTCTTGTGCTGAGTAATTTGATTTTTATAGTCACAAACAAGTTCTTTTCATTGATTTTAAAGTAAAATAACTCACCTTACACATAGGAGGCTGGAAAAAAAAGAACATTTTAGGATAAATTTTCAGACAGCATTTAGAGGTTTTTGCATCTGAACTCTTCATATATGGATCTTATATTGGATCCATGTCACAATAGTTTCAACATTATCATTAATGTTTGTTTCACACTTCACTAAAACATGTTTAAAACTATTTTGTGTTTTTGTTATTCTTTGAGAGCTTTTGTCTGGTATATTTAAAATAAATCAAACTATTATTTACTGCTATTTATGAACAATATTCACACTAAAGCTGGTCAATTTCTCGTTTCAGAACCTATAATTGATCTAATTTTTCCAGGTCCATTTTTTCCAATTACTTTCCCTACTGGGTGTGGAGTCACGTGACCCCACTCTGTTAAAGCTGATTTATACTTCTGCAGCCACTTTGCAGCCATAACTGATCTCTTGTCAAGTAGGACAATGAACCCATTTTTGAGCTTTGCACTACATTGATGATGATTGGAAACTGTGCCAGAGATTCCTTGAGATTGCATGTTTTCCATTACATGTAAAGTTATTATTTACATGAAAATATTTGTTTACAGAAGATGCAAGAAATGCACTGTTTAAAATATAATTTACATGACATACAATGATTATTTTATTTAGAAGAGATACTGCTTAGTTTCTAGTTTTAATATGAAAAACATTAAACAATTTAATTTGTTTCCAAAAGTGCAAGTTGTTTATTTTCACTTTTTTATACAAGAAAAGTTGGTTTTAGGTAATGTGTTTTAATTTCAGTTCTTCAACTTTTATGTTCAATAAATAATCATAGATAGTACATAGAGTGTGTTTCCTTCAGTTATTTTTAAATCAAGTAATGCACCCACATGTAATGCATTGAGGCATCTCTTACTTGTAAAAAAAATAAAATAAAATGAGCATATTAGTGAACTATTATCAGTGATCTAAGGGCAAAAAATCAATAAATAATCGTAATCATTATTCGCAATTGAGTTCAAATGTTCAATTAATACAAATTTTGATTTTACACTAGATCGCCAAACCCTATGTCACAATGGTTTTATCATTATCATTAGGGTTTGTATCACACTTTATTAAAAACACGCCTATTTTGTGTTTTTGTTAGTCTTTGAGATTGTTTTTGTCTGGTGTATTTAAAATAATTCTGACTATTATTTACTGCTATTTATGAACAATATTCACGCTTTATGGAATGGACTGTACTAACAAATAAATATAATAGCAATAACAAAAAATGTCTTGTTTCTGCTGGTCTTTGGCACTTCTCTTGTCCGGCAAGTTCGGAAAATACTGACTACTACTAACTACTACTTTTATTAATTATGCATAATAAGAGAGCACTTGGACATAAAATCATGAGACAAATGATTAGACAAACATATATAACTGACAGTTGACTTTTCTAGTTTCTGTCTTATTATGTTCGGTGTATTAAAATAACGTTACCGACCAACGTTAATTATAGTTCATTGGTTGTCTTTAGCTAGTTAGTTAGCAAGGTTTAAATGTATAACAATAATGTATCAAATCCCACATCGTGACATATAGGTTAAATAAACTGTGAATCAAGCATACCTGAATGTGCTTTTAGGTTAGTTTCATGTTCATATAAATATATTTAAAGGCAGAAAAAGCCTGAAATGTTGCAGTAACCCGAGTACGTGTCGTGTTTACTTCCAGACGTCGCTTCCTGGATGGGAACTGGGAAGTGACGTTTGAATGTTGATTAAAAGCTCGAGTGTATTATAAAGTAAGTATTACTATTTCATTAAAAAACACAATTCGATGTATTTTGACACAATATTCTATTTTAAAATGTTGTCAATATACAAATGTGCCGACAAAACATTGTGAAATACATTTCACAATGAACTACGAGCAGATAAGTTGCTGTTGAGATGTATACTATTTTCGTTGATTTGTGTTTGTTCATATATTAAATGCTAAAACAATTTACATGTTATTCAAAATACTCTTGTTACAATTTAGGGCTGATTTATGCGTGAAAACGTTTGTTGTGTGCGCTTATTTATGTATTAGGTATGTTTTGTGGTATAATCCCTGATGTTATGTTGAAATATGAAAATGTTATTGTAGGATATAAGCATCAGAATGAACATCGAGATGTTTATTTTTTATTTAATCTTGTTATATTTTTGGCTAAATATGTTATACACAAATGTACATTTTGTAAGCGTAAACCTTTCAGATTTTTCTTGAAGATCTACATCTGTATGTCTTTGATTTCTAAATCTACTAATAAGAAAGCTGCAATAACTGTGAATCTGTTTAAAAGACACATTTATGTCTCGCTCCTTGGCATGTAATGTGATATAATGTAAATGTTGTTATGATAATAATAATAATAATAATAGTAATAAAAAAAATTCTCATAATTAGACACAGAGAGTGGCAAAAAGTGCAATAATTTATTGAAGGTTCCTCTTTTTCTTCTTTTCAAAATAACTGTCATCAGCACAAAACACCAATACTATTTCAAGCATTGTAAATAAGAAAAGTTGGCTTTTTTAACATTTACACAAAAGCAAGATTTAATCAGAGGTTACACGTATTAAACAAAGGCCCAAAATGGTGGTAAAGCATTTGTAGGATTTGTTAATAATATGCACAAAGAGTAATATGAAAATCTGACATCATGTGATATGAATCACATATACATACATAAAGTGCTGACACATATCGATTGTCATGCATTAATCTATCTCCCAAATAAATCCTCTTATTAAGAAGAGATTCAAATTCTTTGTTAATGGATGAAACATGTAAACCTGGTTGCATCGAAACAGGCATTCATTAAAAAAATAATCATTACATATTATAGCATTATATACACTATCTGTTAAAAGTTTGGGGTCCGTTTTTTCCTTTCTTTTTCATTAATCTGTTCATCAAGACAGCATTTATTAAATGTAAAAAAGTTAAATTGCTAAACATTTATTAAAATTTTAAATAACTGCTTTTATTACTGTATGTAGTTTCAAATTAAATTATTACTCCAGTCATTATTGCTTTTATCACAATCACCATTAATAATAATAATTAATATTAGAGTGATTTCTGAAGGATCATGTGACTCTGAAGACTGGAGTTATGAAGCTGAAAAATCATCTTTAAAATCACTGGAATAAATTAATTAATTACATGATAAACTACTTTTGAACAGTTATTTTATAGTGCAATAACATTTCACAATTCTACAATTTTTACTGTATTTACAAATAAAATAAATGCAGCCTTCGTCAGGAGAATAAGCTGATTTTAAAACATTTAAAAGTCCTACTGACCCCAAACGTTTGACCAGTAGTGTGTGTATATGTGTGCAATACACAGCAAAAAAAATGTTCATCACAGCCTGGAAGTGCAATTCTAAACACTTTATATTTGCTTAAAACAATGTATGCACCATGAATCAGAGAACTTAAGGCATGCAGTAATTGTGTACAACAGGATTTTCAGTAAAGTTTTGAACATGTTGTTCATTTAGAGGCTCTAATATGTTTCAATAAACCATTTGTGAAAAGCACACTTTTTACTTTTTAAATTTTTCCATTTATAAAAATAGTTCCAAGTCCCCTGATTGTATTGAGCAACTAGTCCTTTTTAAAATAAATAACTGCTGAAATTTTATTTCAGGTTCATCACATATATATAATTGTACAATTGAAGTCAAAATTTTTATCTCCTGTGAAACTTAAATTTTTTTTATATTTCCCAAGTGGTGACACAGTGGCTCAGTGGTTAGCACTGTCGCCTCACAGCAAGAAGTTACCGTCTAAGTTAGTTTGCATTTTTGTGTGGAGTTTGCATGTCCTCCCCGTGTTTGCGTGGGTTTCCTCCTGGTGCTACGGTTTCCCCCACAATCCAAAGACATGCGCTATAGATTAAATGAATAAGCTAAATTGGCCATAGTGTATGAGTGTGAATGACAGTATATGGATGTTTCCCAGTACTGGGTCACAGCTAAAAGGGCATGCGCTGTGTAAAACATATGCTGGATAGGTTGGCGACCCCTGATGAATAAAGGGATTAAGCCGAAGGAAAATGAATGAATCAATGTCCAAAGTGATATTTATTACTTATTATGAAATATTAGGGGAAAAAATGCAAAGATTTAAAAAAAGTGCTAATAATTTTGCCTTCAATTGATTAAAAAGTAAAATGTTTTGACCCTAAATATTCTCATTTATTGATTTATTGTACTGTAACCAATGTAATGCACTTCTTCATCACAGAGCAGTGCTTCTTCATGTGAGTCTGCTGACCACCAGACTGGCTGAAGCTCTTTCCACATAAAGTGCAGTGATATGGTCGTTCTCCAGTGTGGACTCTTTCATGTGTAGCCAGTGATGCTCGGTGAGTGAAGCACTTTCCACATTGTGTACACTTGTACGGTTTTTCTCCAGTATGGATCCTTTGGTGCTGTTGCAGATAGTACACTTTAGTAAAGCAGCTGCCGCACACCGAGCAAACATGCTCCTTCACACCATTATGTAACTTCTGGTGCTCTTTCAAACAATCCATCCGAGTAAAACTCTTTCCGCATGAGGAACACGAGAAGGGCTTTTCCGTCAAGTGAACCGCCTGATGTCTTCTTAGTTGGAAAGCTGAAACAAATGTTTTTTCGCACTGGTCGCAGCCGAATGGCCTCACTCCCGTGTGTAGGAGATTATGCTTTTTCAAACTCTTTTCATTACTGATTTTCTTCCCACACTGAGGACATGAGATCGCCTTTCCGTGAATTAGCATGTGATCTTTCAGGTACTCTTTTTGTTTGAAGCTCTTCCCACAGAACGAGCAGGTGAATGGTCTTTCTCCAGTGTGGACACGAACATGAGCATTTAGGTGTCCTCTATGTGCGAAGCTCTTTCCACATTGGGGGCAGATTACAGGTTTCTTGGCTTGTGTTTTTATAAGTGATAAACTGTTTTCAATTTTAGGCCAGCTTAAAAGTTCTTGATAAGGAGGTTTCTCATTCACATGTAGTTCTTCGGTTTCTTCTTTGACTTCCGTCATGCCTGAAATGAACATATAAAATAGTTAAAGCTCAATGAAGAAACAGCTGAAGATAAAAGCAGGCACATTCGGGTACAATTTCATGAGTATTATTACTTTAAGCTATTATTGTGAATCAGCTTATACCCATAAAACCCATTAGAGGAGTAAAATGTGATTGGATATTGCTAAAAAGCTACATAAAAACGAAAACAAAGAGGAAGTTTATGTGGTCAATGACCAAGGGCGTAGATTTGCTCTTGACATTGATGGGGACATATATCCCTAGAGCGCATGCACTGAACAGCACAAATTATGTTTCACGCATTTAAAAACGTGAATAAAGTACATAATAACATAAAATAAACAGTTAATAATAATACAAATGACAATCCCATCCCATACTGTAAAAGTCAATTTACATAATTTTACTGCAGTCGGGCTTTGAGGAGGTATAAATGTAGAGAAATTTAGAGAGGTTTGTGATGCAATTTGAGCTGTTTTATTAGCGAAATTGAAACGGAATTTCGATTCACTGATATTTATCTAATTAATTGCACTGCCTTGGTTAATAGTATTACAGTGAACTCGTAGCAAACTTGATTTTGTACACGCATAGGTTGACAGAGCATTATTTTATTTTAAAGTATATTAAATTATTGGTAGGGACATTTCAGTAATTGGTATCCCCTCCATCCATGCCAATTCTACGTCCTTGTCAATGACGAGTTTTAACCCTTTAACTGCCCCACCAAGAAAAATCAATTTGACTGCATTTCTTAACTCCTAATGTGGCTAGTTAACACACTCATTTTTTTTTCAACACATCCCATAATTTTTAAATATCAACCTCTACCAAATAGTTGACATGTCGGTTTATTGTAAAAGAAGTACCGTAATTAATACATATACTATAAAAATTTGAAAATATGAAGTGTAATACTAATTCATTTAAAAACATAATCCAGATGAAACATTGTTGAATGCTAAATCATCTGTATTTTTTGAAGTATTTATAAAATAGTTTAGATTCTCATTTAACATGTTTTCTTGTTTTTGTTTTTTTAAAACAAAACCAAAATCTAGTGTAAAAGTGCAACTGAAGGTATGTAAAAAAAGTAAATAAATTGTAACACTGCTGTGTGTGTAAACCATTATTTAAAACAATCAAAATATAGTCAACCATTTGGTAGAGCAGGCAGTTAAAGCACAAAGGCAAATAATAGTTTCTGTGTAATTTTTGTTTTTAAATGTTTCTGCAGATTTTCTGAAGGTAAATGTAAAACTTTAAAATCAGGTAAAGAAAACTGGATGCTCAAAAAAATTATATTCTACATTACAAGTACACTATAAAATGGGGGATTTTGTCTTTCCAGAGCAAAATGTCTAAGAATGATCTGGGAATCAATTGAGGAATTAAGTCTTGTTTACTGTAAAACAATATAAAAATGAACTGAAAAAATCTACTTCAAATGGTCTCATATTTTCCGTTGGCATATAAACGTACTTAAATTCGTTGTTTTTCAGGAAACATCAGAAGACTTTATATGAAGAGTTTAGATACAAAAACTACTTAGCACCGTCTGAAATTTACACATAAAATTTGCATTTTTTCTCAGTCTGTAGTGTGTAGTTTCAGTAATTTTACTCTTAGTGCAAATAATAAGTTATTTTCATTGTCTTTAAAGGAAAATAAAAGAACATAAACATAGGACGCTAAAAAAGCACATTTTAGAGGAAAATGTCAGACTCACTTACAGGTTTTTGAATCTGAACACTTCATATGTTCATCTTTGGTAAATGTGTAGTAACCATGGTTTTATTAACTTAACATACTTTGTTAATTTAACACACCATACTATACCATGTGCTTTCTGATTTTTCTTTTTAATAAATAGTAAAGCCATGGTTAATTTTCATGAGGTAAATGTATCTATACATGTAAGGATTATTTGATATTTGTATAGAAAAACAAAAACTTAGTATTTTATAATTTATTTGATTCTTATTTATTGCGAAGCCTACAATCTTCCACTCTATGAATTCAGTAACTTCTGCTCTGATGTACGAAAAAATTAAAATAAACTATTCACTTTTTATCTTCAAGTGATTCCAAACCTTTATGCGTTTCTTTTTTTAGAAAACATCAACATACATTTTGTATCAACAGAAGAAAGAAACTCCAACAAGTTTGTGACAGAACTGTGCCTTTAAACTGTGGAGGGCATAATTAGGAGAGTTTTTAGTACCCACAGAAACCCTGAATTAGGTTGCCTGATACTGACTTTTCTCATCTGCACTCAGTTCTTCACTTTCCTCTTTCACTTCCATCCGGCCTAAAATGATATGAAACTCAAGTGCAACTCTAAAAAAACACAGAACAAGCTAAATACAAAACAGAAACTCTTGTAACTCGACATGACAGCAACAACAGATAAGCAATAAGTTAAGGTAGAAAGTGTATTGCACAGTATTAAACATTCAAGTGTTTATAAAAAAGCATAAACAGTTAAATAAAAAGTCAGTGAGCATTAATAATATTTACCATAAGGTATCTGCTTTTCTCCAATGAATTTACCTTTCCAAACGACAAGATCCCAATAAGGCTTTAAAAAAAATAAAAAAGCTATTTTAATAATGTCAAATAAGGAGGCTTCACTACATCAAATAAACAGATTTAATTTAGAAACGGTTTATTATTTAAGGCATCGACAGCCTAATAGCCAATCTTCAGCATGTTTACTATTAAGCATTCGCTTCGGAGAAATCTACTTTTATGGTTATTGTTATTTTATATGAGAAGTGACAAGCGGATCTGCAACAGACCATTCCAATCTGACCTTCTTTGTTGTTGTTTTTACACAGCGATTTCCAAAATTGAGAGCGCACAACCGCCACCTATTGTTGCTGTACCATGCAGCATGTTTATTAGTCATTATAATAAACTTTATAGCAAAAAAAATCATTGGATTAAATCGATATGGATTCATATCATTCATATCAATTTCATTCGAGTTTAATTTTTAAAGCCTTGCAAAGTTGTAGAATCCATGCACAGATTTAATAAATTATCATCAAATTACTCTTTATCATACCAAACATGAACATTTCATGTTTTACCTTATTTTACATTTACCTTATCTTATATTTCATATGCCCATAACTGATACATAGTGAAGCTACCAAAAGGAGTAATATCTATAAATCATTTTAGCAGCCTTCTTAATTAAGGAATTATTTTACACAGGCCCGGATTGGCTAATCGGGAGGACCGGGAGAATTCCCGGTGGGCCGGTCTGTTTTTTGGCCGCGAGATCCGGTTTCCCTAGCTCCAGAATCTGATGCTCTCAGCAGTCACATTTTTAAAATTTATTTATTTATTTACTTGACCGCAGCCTTTTTATTCATTATTTTACCGCAGCTCTGCTTTTTTATCTATTTTCTCGCAGCTTCGTGAGCAAGATGCAGCCTGCAGGTTAATGAGTCAGATGAGTCACTACTGTATGTGTAGGTTGTGGTCCAGTGGGTCGCACATTAGGTTACGATGTCGCTGACCCGGGTTTGATCCTCGACTAAGGAAAGTTTTTTTTTCATATTTATTGTTAAGACATATAATACTGTTAGGGTTGTTGAACATTTGAAGTTGTAAAGCAGCTGTTTTTTAAAAAAAAAGACATGATAGTGTCATTAGAAACTGATTTGGAAATGACCTTATTTTAATATAGTCAGTCATGAACTGAGGTGGGCCGGTCTGAGGCTTGAAACTCCAGGGCTGAAAAGGAGTCCCACTCCGGCCCTGATTTTACTTCCATATTTAATCACGTTAACCACAGGTAAAACCAAACACAACCCCACTTCAGTGCTAAAAAGTTCTTATATTTGGATAAATTAAGAAATTATAAATGGTTTCTATGCAGTCTTTTGAAAAAATGCACAAAGCAAAGGTCTTTCAACTTTGTCAAAGCATTAATAGTGAAGAATTACTAAAATAATGGACCGGTTTGTAAATGTAGTGCAGTAGAGGAAATATTGAAACAGACTTTGCTTCTTTAAACTTTTGCAATAAGTTCCTGTTTTAACGTCTTTTCTGCATGTTGCTTCCTCATTTTTCTTTCCTGTGTCACCCTTTCCAGTTTTGCTATACATTTAAAAATCTCATCACAATATTAGTCAATTGGATTTGCACACATTAAAAGCAATAACAATAGAGAGAAACATATATGGAAACCTTTTTTCTTTTTTTCTTTTTTTTTGCCAGCTGATAAATAAAATAACTATTGACATCAATGATCTGCCAAAAACTGGAGCATTTAAAGCATCGGAGAATAAATAACTCTGTAGCTTATAATAAGCATTATACAATACATAAGTAGATAGCAGTTATCTTGATAGTTATAATTCTCTGACTCTCCAGACTTTCTCTCATAAAGCACACAACATTAAACAATAATAATAATGAAAAAAATGTATTCATTTAAATATATTGTTATATTTAATGAGTTATCTCCTAACTGAGTATAAAACATATGTTGTTTTGGGATTAATTAATTAAACAAGATAAACATACATACTGTACAATAGTATAAAAGAGGGAAATAGATTAAAATGTAACCAATCTATAAAATAACCAACAGAGACCTTAATTGTGCCCAATGTCATGTTGAGCCAGCATATGTTCTCATATGTTTTGGTTAAAATTAAAAACTTTCTAGAAGCTAGAAGGTTAATATTGCTCAAATGGAAGGATAAATCCTTTCCAACCTTTAAGCAATGGCTTACAGACCTTTTAACCTCGGAAAAATATGATGCGTTATAAAAGGGGTGTACTAAGATGTCTTATCTTACTTGGCAACCTGTTTTAGATCACATTAAGAAGATGAACCCTTAAGTTATTTTAGAAGAAACTAATAATATCATTATTTATTTGTATTTTATTTTAATATTCATTCATTTTCTTTTCGGCTTAGTCCCTTCATTAATCAGGAGTCGCCACAGCGGAATTAACCGCCAATATGTCCAACATATGTTTTACGCAGCGAATGCCCTTCCAGCTGTAACCAAACAGTGAGAAACACCCAAAACAGATTGCAATACAGAATAATGCAATACAGATTGCAGATTTAACAATCTAACTCTAAATGTTTCAGATTTATTGAATCTAACTGTTCAATAAAAACACTTTTGAGAAAAAGAAATACAAAAATAACAAAAAGATTAGATTAAATAATTTATACAAAAAATCTTCCAAATATAATTCAAATTAAATATATATTTTATATGAATAATGCAAATAAAATAAGTATTATAATGCAAAAAGTACTAAAAATACACTTAGATTTTCCACAAAAAATTTTAAACCCATTCAATAATCAAATGTGCATAGTATTTTATTTAATACATTACTGTTAATGCAATTATTCAAAGACGTGCACCTGCAAAAAGCATTCAGTGCACTCTCTTTCACTACAAGCTCTCACACTTTACATTAAAAATGAAACATGAAATCCATAATGAAAGTTGCAATTATAACACCATAATTATATATTGATGGAAAGAAACTGCTTCCTTGGCTAATACATCATTTCTGCATAAAATATGATGCAATGAATCCTTTAATCTATAGCTTAATGGATTATTGGAGTTAAATGTTAATGCAAATCTATAATGATGTCCAGCAATACTATAATTGTGACCACTCAAGTATGAAAGGGACTAAAATATAAAAACAATTTAATCCTGTATCCAAAAAAAAGAAATCAGATGAACCATGTAACATCATAATCTAATAAGAGAAACACATGAACTTACTTTGGCTCAGGTCAAATACACCTGACATCACCAAAAGGCCCCCAAAACATTGCAAAATTTCACCTTAAGAAAGAAAGAGAGTGTGATTGTGCTAAACATCGGGTGGTTGTAAAGACGGGGTCATTTTTATGTGAGGGCACCATTTTGAGCTTGTAATAGTGGGAAAGATCAGTCCATATTATCCTCTTTACTACACGATAACAGGCTCCCGCTGGTTGTTCTGCCTTTTCACTACGAAAACCTTCTGTCCGGAGATGGTCACAGCATAGACGTAGTCTTCAAACATCACTGACATCAGACAAAAAAGGAAAGAAAAAAATATACATTAATATCAGTATTTGTTTGGAAGTTATGGATTTTCACAGCAAGTAAAAATGATTTACTGTAAAATAGTAAATGATCATATATCAATTATTTCTTATTGAATAAATTTAATTAAAACAACAAATTAAAGAGGGTTATTTTATTTTATTAGGGCTATTTTGTTCCTAAACAAAATCAAGAGGATAAAAAAAGACTTAAAATGGTTACACATGAAACCATAAAAACTAATAAAACCTTTTTTTTTTTAAACAGACCTATTTAAAAACACAACTGATAGAAATACATAACAAAATTGCTTAAACTTTAAATAGAAAAAACACAAAATGTAAAGATAAAAACTATTTCAAACTGTAAAAATATCTGGATAATACTTAAACCTAATGTTACAAATAAACACTAATACTACAGTGATATCTGAATATTACATAAACCTGATGTTACACAAGCATGTTTACTTTAATAATTCACATCACATTTTTTGAAAATTAAATGACAAAATATGAGTGAAATATTGTTCTATCATCATTCAGCATTTATCTAAAAATGAAGTGCGTTTCTTACCAGACATGCGCTTGAATGGGGGCTCTGCAGTCCCATGTAATCTGAAGCGACAAGCTGTTCGGACCATCTGCATGATCACTCCTGCTGTGTGCTCGTCATTCTCCAGCTCTCCTGCCGACTGTAGATTACAAAAAACATTCACTTACTGCTTAACTGAGACAAGTGGAGTCATTATTAATCCCCCTATGATATTTTCTTTTTTAAATATTTCCCAAATTATGTTTAATAGAGCAAGGACATTTTCACATTATTTCATATAATATTGTTTCCTCTGGAGAAAGTCTTATTTGTTTTATTTTGGCCAGAATAAAAGCAGCTTTTCATACCATTTTAACTCAATTATTATTACCCCCCCCCCCCCAAGCAATATATTTTTTTAACTTGTCTACAGAACAAATTATTGTTAATTAAATTACTAATTAAACTAAGTATCTTCCTTAACCTAATTAACCCAATTAAGCCTTTAAATTGAACTTGAAGCTGAATACTATTATCCTGAAAAATATGTAGTAAAATAGTATGTACTGTCATCATGGCGAAGATAAAAGAAATTCATTAGTTATTCAATCTATTATGTTTAGAAAAGTGTTGAAAAAAAATCTCTCTGTAAAACAGAAATTGGGGAAAAATATAAAAGATTTAAAATTAAACAGCAAGGCTAATAATTCTGACTCAACTGTAAATGATAAATTGATTATATGATTAAAACATAGAACCTATCGAATATATAGAAAGAGACAGAGAGAGAGATAACCCCTTGAGCCAGGTGTGTCCAACAGACAGACAGACAGACAGACAGACAGATAGATAGATACAGTTAAAGGCACAATTATTGGCAATAAATAAATATTTTCCTTTTTTAATTTATTTTCATGAAGGCTGTTCAAAAGGAAGAAGATTTCTCAACACATTTTTAAAAATAATAGTTGTAATATATATATTTTTTAACAGAATCTGTCTTTGCCATGATAACACTGCATAATATTTTGCTAGTTATTTTACAAGATATTAGAATTCATCTTAATGAGTAACTTAAAGGCTTAACTTGGTTAATAAGTTTAACTAGGCAAGTCATTGAATACCATTATTTTGTTCTAAGGGCCTATTAACCTATTAAAATTGTTATTTTTTTATTTAAAAACTGCTTTTATTCCAGACAAAATAAAAGAAATAAAAAATTTTCTCAAGAATAAAAATATTATAGAAAATACTGTGAAAATGTCATTGCTCAGTTCATCATAACTTGGGAATTTTTTTTTAAATAATATGTATCAGTAGAGGCGTAATAATTTTGCCTCAAAGTGTAGACAGGCAAACAGAGACAGACAGAACAATAAGACTGACAGACATTGAATTCTAATTAATTATTTCTCATTTGCCCAAATCAGGATTCTCTTTTCAACGCATTTCACCCTCATGTCAAGTTCTCCGAAAATGTAAGTTATGAATTTTAACAGCTTACCGCGAGTACTCCGTCTTCACTAATAACCAAGTACCCAAGTTGATCGGGTATTCTCTCCAAGCCTTGAGTCAAAGCAGTAGTCTGACATTCAACACACGATAATACTGTAATTAAACACTAACAGAGCTCATATGATATTAGACTGCATCATCAATCACATTATTTACAAAATCTTTGTTTTATAAGTTCTAAATGCACTAAAACAAAACATTTAATAAAAAAAACATTTAATTAAACAAATATTTTAAAGGTAAGAATTATATTTACCATTTTAGACAGTGCAGATAAATGTACACTGCTGTTTTCCTTCACACCCCGCCTCACGTGACTGACATCAAGCGTCGCGTGTTTATAACGTCATTCCAGGAGATGTTTTGCTTATTCGACATTATTTTTGTTTATATGCATTGGAAACGTACAAAATGTGATAAAAAATCTTAGTATGACTAAAACGTGGCGGATTTTTATTTAATTTGCTAGGATTTATGCGCTGTTCTCGCATTTAACAAAAAATAATCTGTATCAGGATCAGATTCGCTGTCATAATCACCGCACACAGGTCGGTCGTTAACGCGAGCAGCACAGATCTCAGATCAGCTAAATAAGGCGCTTACGCGACTACGCAAAGCGGAAGTGAAGTGGTCAGCTGATTAAAGCATATGATCCTGCTGAACGGAAAACATTTCGTCCATTCTGCGTCTTTTATTTGAGCAAAATATAAGACAAAGTCACGATGCCCGGACGAGGAAAATTAATCGCAGTTATCGGTGATGAAGACACGTGCACCGGATTTCTCCTCGGAGGGATCGGAGAGCTCAATAAAAACCGTAAACCCAATTTCTTGGTGGTGGAGAAGGAAACCAGCGTTACAGAGATAGAGGAGACCTTCAAGTAAGTGACACGATCCTAAATGTCTGAATGACTCAACATCATATATTACAATCTAATTATCAAATATGTGTCATTACAAATATATGGATGAAGACTTGCTTTTTAAAAAAATATTTATGTTTATCTATCTATCTATCTATCTATCTATCTATCTATCTATCTATCTATCTATCTATCTATCTATCTATCTATCATATCAGCCAAATATTTTAGAAAAAACATTTATATATAAATTATTTTTATGTAGTAATAATTACCTAAATTTGTCAAGAAACCCACTTAAATGTCTTTTAGTTTAACAATATTTTATATACACCAGTAAACTGTCAATCATATTTGCAAGAAACTATTAAAGACATATCAAACTATTAATATTATGAATTACAGTGCAGCCCCTATTGACAATTGTCATTTAAATATCCTTTGTCACTATTCTTCAAACTACTGATCAATTTTGAATAATTTAAATATAAGAACATGTTTGTCTGATCTCTTCTTATTCTGACGATAGATCATTTTGAGGAATGTAAACAAAAACAAATGTTCCAACGTATTTTCTGTTTTACATTTTTAATTTTTATAGCTTACGAGAATCTAAAAAGAGCCTGCTTATTGATAAATAATGTTATGATAGCTTTTTTAGAATTAAGTTATTATTCAATTGTTTCTTTGATATCAAGCATAGGCCAATGTCATCACCACAATGAAATGGTCTATATGAATAAGTACAAGTCCAAGTCAATATGTAGTTTGGTATTTACATAAATATGCAATAATGTCTGATTTTGATTATAATTTCACCCATGCTTGCATTTAATTTTCAGAAGAGTTATTTGAAACATCAAAGTATGCGCTGTATATGCATTTAATACAATAATAAAATTATATTATGTATAACACCTTAGTAGACATACAGAAAAAAATGTCTTACTAACACATATATTATGCATTAATATATACAGTAAACATTACTTTTCCCAATAACCTTTTGAATTGTAATTTTTGGATTAACAAATAGATGCAGAGAATAGTAGATTTTTGTAATTGTACAATTTTTTTTCTGTCAACATTAACTACAGCATGTCTGTCGTTTATGACTAACAGGAGTTTCCTTGCTCGCAATGACATTGGCATCATCCTTATCAACCAGTTCATCGCAGAGATGATTCGACATGCCATTGATGCCCACATGCAGTCCATCCCGGCTGTGCTAGAGATTCCCTCAAAAGAGCATCCATATGATGCCTCCAAAGACTCCATCCTGCGACGGGCCAAGGGTATGTTCTCTGCAGAGGACTTCCGATAACCTGTTACTACCCATGCAGGCTCACAGTCTGGCCTGAGCAGATGAAGGAGTTGGGTATTCTCATCCATCTCGCTGAAACTGAAAAGCATATTATGAGGAGTAAATAATGATGTGTGTTTAATCAATGTTCTGTGATGTATTTTTTGCCATTCCCAAGGAAATAGTTTTTGTCAGTGCTCCTACTAATAATTATTTTAAAATATATGTTTAATATAACAATCATATATATCATATATAAAAATTCAATATATTATGAATTTCCTTTTAAATGCTGTCACTTTAATATTTAAGTTCCTGAATGTCTTTCTCAAACTTGATAATATTAGACAGAAAACAAACTCTCTACATCTGTTACTGTAAATTGGTGTGCTATGCATATATTTTTTCCTCATTGTATTGGTCATTGTTTTGAAGCATTTCAAAGAAGCTTTCCTCAATGTGATGCAATTAAAATGTGTTCAAAGTATGTGATTTGCAGTTATTAAAGGTAATTGGAGTATTATGCTCTATTGATACTGTGGTGATGGAAAATAAATATTAAGGTAAAATATGCAAATACAAAAAAGACTAGAATAATGCAAATAGAAATGCAAATAATGCATATAAAAATATGATGATTTGGTCATGTTAAAATTCAATCAGCCAATCACATGTCAGCAATAAAATGTGTTTAGGAATCTATGTGGTCATGATGATTTAACGTGACTAGGGATTTTAGAGAACAGTCAGATAAATGTCCCGAGTGGATCTATGTGGGTAAAGAGAGTTTGTTTGTGACAGAAATCAGAATAGCATGGAATAACACTTTAGAATAATGCTACATCAGTTCATGCATCTACTAACATGAACTAAGTAGGGGTAATCTTGAAAATAATTTATTAACCATTAGTTCAACATTTACTAATGCATTAATAATAGCCGAAGTTGGTCTTGTTAACATTGGTTAATGCACTGAGTTAACATCAACTAACACTCTTTAATTAAATTAACTTTATTAACTTTAACAATGATGAATAAGTACTGAATGTATTACTAATTGTTTGTTCATGTTAGTAATACATTTATTATGGTATTTTAAAGTGTTGCCAATCTTGGACAGACACAAGCACTGATCAAAATTAAAGTCTAGAGAGTGAACACTGACACTGATCAAAACAGACTCTGAGACTGCACACACAACGCATAAAATATTGCAGGAGAAGAGATACCTGTGACACTCCAGTCATTTAAAAACAAAAAACTGAGTCTACAGTTTGCGCACTCTTTTACGCACTCTTTTACAATATTAGTACAATAGAAAACTGGAAAATGGTTGTCTAATATGATGAGTCTTCTGCTCTGACATTAAGATAGTTTTAGAATTGGTTTGGTTTAAACAACATGAATGCATGAATCAATCTTGACTTATTTGAATGGATCAGGATTCTGCTGGTGGTGTAATGGGGAAAAGGATATTCCTTATATCCTTGTCATTGAGTTATATATCAAGGCCCTTATTCACTAAGTATCTTAAGGATAAAAGTAGCTCCTAACTTGCTATATAAACATTTTAGAAATCCTTGATGGTAGTTAGCTTTTAACAGCGTATTCTCATATGGTCAGAAATGGTATGAAATATATTTTTGAATTTATAAAATACAAATTTAAAGATATATTTGCTTAAATATTTTCTAAGCAAATACATTAATTTGTACCATTAGAAGTAAATCTTTATTTAATGTCTAATACATTAAAAGCAAGAACATAAAACTTTGTCTAGCCACCTTTTTAAAACCTTTAATTGAACATGAAATAAAATACAACATATTTTGCGCTCTACAGAATTTTCAGACTCCTCCGTTCCATCAGCCAATCACTGTCTGGATAGTTAGTAATCATGCTGACATAGCAATGAGGTCCATGCTCTCACTCTTAGCTTAAAAGGTCTCAGCAGCTGTCAACACATTTTAATATTACATGTCATTTTTACTGCTATTTAGGAGGTAAGAAATAATTGTGCCTACGAGCTCAGGTATATCATCATGCTGGCAACAAACACACATGATGTTGGTTGTATAAACTGCTTTGTTTGTTGCAGGTTCCTGAAAATCCTGTGTATCATCACTGACTGTACACTCACACTATGGAAGTCTAACAGAAATCTGACTACTAATATATCTCAGTCAAACACTTAACAATGATGAGAGCAAGTGATTCATTGATTCTTCGGTGGCTTTTACACCGTCGCTGTCAGATCCTGAATATTTTAGGGAACATTGGTCACATCTATCTTGTCCATTATTTAAACTGTCTTATCTAAGGACAAAACCTACTCTTACCTGTGGGAATCACACATCATACATACAGATTCCTGGTAGATTAAAGAGCATTTAAATGGAAAGAGGATGAAATATAAGCTCAAATCAACTTTGTTCTGCTTCATTCACAATCACTCTGTTCAGTAAATCGGTTCTGCTGTTTGATCAACAACATGATTTCTGTTTGGATTTTAAGTTCTCTGATCCTCAGCTACACTTTTGGGGGTCCCATCTTCAAGAACATAAGGTAAGATATGTTTTCATGCTATATTTTGTCTATGAACATTTTTTTCCACCATATTGAATTTCATATATTTTATTTCAGCAGTGGCTCGAATATGGAGATTTCTCCCAATGCTACAAAGAGCAACTTAACAGAGTTTACTACTCCGACAAACATGTAAAGAAAATATATATGGTTATATTGTGAGTTCTACAGAATGCTAAAATAATGCTTGTATCTAACTCAAACTTTTTTTTCTTTTGTAAACAGGTCTGTAAGGCCTTCAAAATTCTTGTAAGTCTTGTTTTTTTTTTTTAAATGCATATTATATTATATTATATTATATAATATTATATTATATTAGATTAGATTAGATTAGATTAGATTAGATTAGATTACTAGTGTCTAAACTAGTAGACATTACCCATAGACACTTTAACCGACAAAAACACTACATTTATGAAGTGTGTTTCACACAGGTGAGTGGTATTGACAAACATCTATCTCTGTCTTTCTCTCTCTCTCTCTCCCCCTTAAAATAACGAAAAACTCTAGCACTTTTACTCTAGCACTAAATTCCCTGAGCACAAACAAGTTCTTTGTATAACTAGTGCTTCTTTTGTGTAATACCTCATCTTGTTTAATCACTAAACGCCTTTTCAATTGTAAGATGCTTTGGACAAAATCATCTGCTAAATGACTAAATGTTAATGTAACTCAAAGTTAAATAAAAATGTGTTTTCATATTGCAGACTGACTCAAAAACCTTTCACAACACACATATTCACCATCACAGAATGCCATAACTGTTACTGACCGTATTTCCGCACAAATTCAATCAGGATAATTGTTGGTCTACAGCGAGTTCTTGTGAACTAAGTGAAATTTATTGATTTGCATTTAAGTTATGTTGGATTTGCTTGTACATAATAAAAATAATAGTTTAAAAAGGTTTTGAAATCTAAAAGTGCTGTAAGATGTATTTACTCAAGTAAATGCTGTTTTTATAAATTATAGCATGTCACAAATCTATCAATTGTGTTACTTCTATAACAAAAAGTAACTAAATACGGATCTGCAGTTGTATAATAGTAATTTTTGTAATATGTAACTAAAGCATTTAAAGTGTTTCCATATAAGGCGATGGGCTTAAGTAAAATAAAATTAAATAAATTTTCACAATGTTAATTAGCAACTGTGATGTGTGATCTTTATATTCAAAAGCAAAGTGAATGTTAATTAAAAGAGTTAGCATTTGTCTTTTATAACAATAGAATAAATCTTTCCAAAGTAATTGTTAATTAGTTTATTAATATGCATGCAACCCTTGTAACATTTCAGAAAGAATGCTTGTTTTGTTCCTAATTAAACTCATATTAAATATATATTGTGTTACGGTTAGGGTTAGGTCCTGGTCTTTGTTAGACCACTTTAATTTAAAATGCCAAGCTAAACTAGAGCCATTGGCAGCTCTGGTCCATTTTCACTGACAAATCAAACCTAAAATAACAACAGTAAACTCAAACAAATGACTTCCTGTCTCGTTCTGGCATTTTCTGCATCACCCTTTCTTTCTGACACACACCAGATTTAAAATTTGCATCACATAAAAATGGCCTTTAAATGATTTCATTATAGTGACAAAAGGATCCTTTCAAAATATTTCTATTGTGCCTGAATTTCCTTTCATTTCAGGCGAAGGTGTTTTCTGTCCACTTGTGCCTTGTGGAACCTAGGGGCATTGTTACAGACTGGAAATGAGGTTGCAGGGGACTTTACCAATGATCCATTGGGATTTGGCAAAAAATGATGCATGGTTCTGAATGTTCAAAGAATGTGTAATCAAGCTTTTGATTAAATATATGAGGATGTTGCACTAATAATGAATCACAATGAAACTGTTTTACTTAATTGTCAACTTTTATGTGCTGTAATACAAATATATATATATATATATATATATATATATATATATATATATATATATATATATATATATATCACTTTTTAACCGTACTTTTATGATATTTCCGTTTTCCCTTGGATGAAATCCAGCCGTTTATTTCTATCCACTCCAGCAAATTTCAGTAAAACTGTCTGTTTGATTTTTTTGTATGCTCATATTTTTGTTACTGATTGATAAGAATGATAAAATGTACACTATTCCATTTGTAGATTCTGTACACCTAAGAGAATGAAAAGAGAGCTAAATAGGAAATCAAAAGTAAAAAAAAAAAAAAGATTTCTGTGAAGCCTTTGTCAATTTTTTTTTTCAATAACATTTTCATATGGCAGATTGACTCAAAACACTTCTTACAACACACATATTCAGCATGACAGAATGGCATAACTACTGACCATGTTTCCACTCAAATTATATTGGGAGAATTGTTGGTCTAAGTTCTTATGAAATAAATGAAATTTTTTGATTTTATTTAAAATCATGTTTGATTTGCATGTAATTAATCAAAATCAATCATTTTATAAAGGCTTTGAAAGTGCTGTAAAATCAAGCCAAAGACATACCCATATTATGTTTAGAATTTGAAGTTGATCTCACAGAAAACAATTTGACATTTTGTTGTGGAGGTATTACCAAAAATGGCCACAGGCACTCAAGTAAATGCTGTTTCTTCATGTAATATCCTGCCACAAATCCATCAATTTGTCTCACATTACTTCTAAAACAAAACAGACACCAAATACAGATCAACAGTTGTCAGAAAATATCAGTTATAAGTATTTAAGGTCTGTTTCAATATAAGGTGATGTGCAAAAAAAGGGTTTCTGTAGATGAGTGAATTGAATTTATTTATAGTTTTTCAGCATTCAAAAATATGTAAGTGTCGTACAATAAAGCCATATATCTATAGTGTCAACGTCACAATTAACATCTGAACAAAAGTGAGTTTGTGGACACTATTCCTTTTCAAGCTATTGTATTATTAAAATTTGTTGATAACCTGTAAAATAGTTCACCTAAAAATATAGATTTACTCAGCATCCACTTTTTTAAACTTTTATGATTTTTAAAAATCTACTTTTGAACATGTTGGTTAGTTAAATATATTTCTTTATAATATTGATAAGATTGGATATATCATCAAAAAAGAGAAGAACATTTTCAGTTACCCTATATATCATCACATTTATTGGTGATATTGTTCAGCAGAAGAACAAAAACCCATACATATTAGCAACAAGGATGGTGTGTAAATAATAACAGAATTTTGAGAACTTTGGGGAACTTTGAGAACTAAAACAGCTTTAAAATATGCACACAGACTTCAGTAAAAATCTAACATCTTTGCTTGACTATTGTCCAACATTGGGACTGTTGACTCTGTTGATTTATTTATTATCTTCTGTGTTTTATTTCCACTCTTTATAGTCCAACACACTGATAAGGTCTCGTCACTCTTCTCTGTTTGTGGTTTAAATATTTGTCCCTGTCTCATTCAAGGACAAACCTCTATTCAGCCTGTGGGAAACAAACACATATACAGAGTCCTGAAAGAGTAAAGAGCATTTGAATGGACGGTGAATTTAATATAAGTGAGGGTGAACTCTTTTCTGCTTCATTCACAATCACTCTATTCAGTAAATTCTGTGAACAACATGATCTCTGTTTGGATTCTGAGTTCTCTGATCCTCAGCTACACTTTTGGGCGTCCCATCTTCAATAACACAAGGTAAGACATTATCAAGTATAACTAAAATATTGTCCTCAAAACTGATCCGATACTTTATTTATTTACAGCAGTGGAATTCACATGGAGGGTTTTTTTAATGTCACAGAGAGGAACTTCACAGAGTATAATAAAACCAATCAGATCAGGTATACGTATTGCTGCATTTATAAAGATACATTTCTGTCTTTTTATACTAACATTTCTGAAACATTTTACCACAGACATGATTTAGGTCACGATCCTCGCATAAAATTAATGTAAGTCATATTATTTTTTAACTTGCTGCTTTCATCGCAGATTTCTATGAATCCTGTTTCATTCTCTGTCCTTCCTTTGACGTACAATGGCTTTCTCTGTCACAAATTCACAATACAAACTTTAGGAAATTAAAGTAAAAAAAAAATGTTTTTCTAATTATTGATTTCAGGAGTTCGAGTTGTCTGCTGCCAACTTGTTCCTTGTCAAACCTGGGATCATCCTTACAGATTGGGGATGAGATTGCTGGAGATTTGGTCCGAGATCCAATGGGAATTGGCAAGAAATGAAGCAAATGAATAAAAGAAAATAAACATGATTAATAAGGAAAACATTTAAAACCTTTTTGTCTTTTTGTATGCTTCTTTGACTCAGAATTATGCAGTTCTCAATATGATCTTTATGGTGCAGATCAAAGGGAAGTAATTGAATTCAATGCAATAACCAAAAATCAAACTAATTCAGATCAGCATTAATAACAGAATAAAAAAACATTTTCACAACTGTATTTAACTTAAAAATATATTTTATTTTTTAATTTGTATTTCTTTAACTTTAGTGTACATTTCTTCAGATAGAAAATGTGCATGCATGTACATAAATGTAAATCTACCCAGGCATCTGAGAACATTCATCTCTTTTCTGTATTTTCACCCTAAATTAGTCATTTGAGCATCATAGCTTACATAACCAACATGGGCATTATTTCAAAAAGCTGAAAATGTGAATACAAGTCACTTTGTTAAATTTCTTAGTTACATTTTAAATATCATATTTTGTTGAAGCAGAGAAAATGTAATTAATAAGTGTAAATAAACAACAACACTTTTAAAAACACATTTTAACAATTTTAGTTAAAATATACAGTCACTCTGTTGTACTTATGTTTACCCTGTGGGTCAGTACAGCTGCTGTTAACGATGAAATTGTGGGTTCTTATGATGTAAGGGTTATTATCTTTCAATATAATAAAAAAATAAAATAAAAAAAATACTTACAATTTAATTTATTCTCACCTTCAAATGGTTCATGTTTCTTTTTACTTTTGAACACAAAAGAAGATGTTATGAAGAATGCTGAAAGCCATTGACACTCATCATAGGAAAAACAAATACTTTGGTGGTCAGTGGTTACTGGTTTCCAATATTTTCTTTTGTGTTTAAGAAACTTCTGTTGTTTTTGACAAGTGAAATGTGAATAAATGATGATAATACTTTCATTTTTGTGTAAACCTTACTTTTAATTCAACTTATATATCACCATGCTTGTGTATCTTTTATCATTTCATGCCAAATTTATTTTATTTATTTATTTATTTATTTTTACATTTTATTAATTCTATGACCTGTTTCCCAGTGATGGGTTACAGTCGGAAGGGCATCCGCTGCATAAAAAATATGCTTGATAAGTTGTTGGTTCATTCCACTGTGGTGACCCCAGATTAATAATTCAAAAAGAAAAGAGTAATTCCATGACTGCAAATAATATAGCCAGAAACATGGTGGTTACTTTTATTTTATTATTATGCATTTAATGGTAAATTGTCTTTCCTTTAAATATTGCTTAATCAAAGGTGTTTTCATACATTTTTTGTTTTAATATTCCTGCAAACAAATATAGCAATGAATGTATGAATCACATGAGTTTCATACAAACACTGCAAATGCAGCCACTAGGAAAATAGTCTGGGGGAAAGGATGGTTAGTTCCTATAAGTGAGCTCATAAGAGTTTTTTCAGGAGAATGGAATATACTTGTCAAATACCACATTCAAAAATTGCTGTGTTTTTAGCTTGAATATGGGTAAAATTTGAACAAAACACACCGTTGTGTTACTTTTTATTCCGAATTTATAGCCCAAATCTAATCCATTTTTTACATATGTCTATATCCATGGTATCAAATTGGGCTATTTTAGGTTGAATTAACCCAATAGTTTTTTAGAGTTGACCAAGTTGACAATATGCTCTAAAAATACTGGTTTGTTTTGTAACCCAGTGTTGGCTAAAAAATGGAAAAATCCAATTAAAATTGAATGACAGTTTTTAACCCAACACATTGGTTTGTCCCTATTAGACCCTTAATATTTGACCATGTTAGATTACAACAGCCCAATTTTTATTGAGTGTGTATAATCCACACATAAACTATACACAAAAAGTTTAATCCATTCTGCTGAAAGAACTCCTTTGTCTCGTTTGATATTATGCTATTTTCTTTATTGGTAGTGATGTGACTTGGTTTTAAAATCCTCAGTTGTATCCTTATGATTATTTTCCTATACTTTTGATTGAGTCGGATCCTCCCTTATCCTCATCTTCACTTAATATCAACCATATTTGGACCAGGCTGTTTCCAACAATATCCCACAAGCTAAACGCTGTTTTTATAATTGAAACATGGCAGCCACTATCATGTAAACAAAGACTTGTACAGCTCTGTTAACAGTACAGTTGATCATCCTCCATATGATTTTTCGGGAAGTCACATGTGATCAGTGTCTGAGAGATCTTGCCACTGTGAAATTGTTGCTATGACTGGCAGATGTGTGGTTTTACGGTTCCATTTAGTGTGTGTACAGAGAAATTGGTTGAAAGAGTCTTTATATTCTCATGTGTTCCAGACCTTGAAGATTATATTCACATTTTTAGGCCTGATTTGAACCGCTCATTGATCGGGAGGTCAATAGTCACAGTTATTTTATTGCTTTAAAAATCTCTGCTGTCCTAACTTATAAAAATAATGCATTGTTTCTGATTTAGCATTATTTGCTTTGTAAACATTCTTCAACCATTCCTTAAGCATGTTGTGTCATCACAAATTATTACAAAGGTCGGTATGTGTAATACTGGAACATTTCTGGCATTTTAAGGTATGTTATTCCTTGATAACAATCACTGAAACAAGTAACCTAGGTCCATATGGGGACAAATTAGCTTGACCTTTCATTAATATATTCATGTCCATATTTGTCTGCTATTCTTGGCTGTTTGGCACATGTTGTGTCTGAATAATACGTATACTGCATTTAGCACGTTTATTTATGTTTAATTAAAGAGTTAGTGAATTATTACAGCTCAGACCAATGATTTATGTCTACGTGTTTACTTTCCTGTCTAGATAATGGACATCTAAGGGGGTTGTTTACACAGAGTGAAGCCCTTAAGTCTTATACACCACTTACAAGCTTGTCGGGTTTTATTCTGCAAGAACAACAGTTCTTCAAGCATTTTTTTGTGTAATTTAATGAGAATATTTTAAAATAACATCCGGTGTGTTACCGTGAATTTAGGTTGAAATGAAGTGCAACTATAATTAATGATAACAACAACAAGGTCTCATTAATCTTTTAAAAGTGTGTGTTTCTGTCTCATTCAAGGACAAAACCCACTCTTACCTGTGGGAATCACACACATAAACAGATCCCTGAAAGATTAAAGAGCTTTTAAATGGACAGAGGATGAAATATAAGCTTAGATCAACTTTGTTCTGTTTTATTCACAATCACTCTGTTCAGTAAATCGGTTCTGCTGTTTGATCAACAACATGATTTCTGTTTGGATTTTAAGTTCTCTGATCCTCAGCTACACTTTTGGGCGTCCCATTTTCAATAACACAAGGTAAGATATTCATACCTTTATGGCTGTATTTTGTTTATGAACCTTTTTCACCATATTAAAGTATATGTATTGATTAGCAGTGGCTTGAATATGGAAACTTCTACCAATGCTACAGAGAGGAACTCCACAAACAGGTATAGAGAAAACACAAGCTAAGATAATATCAAGTATGAATTAAATATTCTTCACAAAAACCCTACTTTGTTAATTTTCAGCACGTCTCTGATTCTTAACAATACTTCTGGTTTTCCCAATACCAGTAACAAAAGGTAAGGTATTATTATATGGAATTGCAATCGTGCTTTCAAATTCATAGCCTGCTTGTGTTTGTGTTCAGCAAGAGAACTTATTTGGAGGGTCTACTGTATGCCAAGAAGGCCAGAGAGTACAATGAGACCAATGGTTATGGGTAAAAACAGACTTACAGATGTTTGACAACAGAAACTGTGTGAATGATTGAAATATTTTTTTTTTGGTTGGGAAACAACAGACATTTTTTTTGTATTTTGTGCTTAATTTATCAACAACAGAAATATATACCCAATTGAAAAAAATGTATCCTTACAAACAATTCTTAATGTTAATAAAATATTTTTTAAAAGGTTTGAACATGTGTTTGTTTGTTTGTTTGTCTTATACAGAAATGATATGTTTCCGGGTCCCGGTTATATTGGGTGAGAGTTTTTATTTGATACTGCAAGACTAAAATGTAATTTAAGCATTTTATTTTTTGATAGCCCAGTTTGCTGTTATTTAGCATTTATACGTAAACTAATCGTTCTGCTTTTACATCAGATTCTGCTGGTTACCATCCTGTGCTTTGCATAATTTGGTTGACAGAATGCAGTCCGGGGATGAGACGGCAGGGAAAATTACAGAAGACGCATTGGGACCAGGAAAAAAATAATAATTTAAAGAAATGTTACAGAAGAAGTATTACTTTTATTTGATAGTTTATTTTGCTTCTAAAAATCCCTTTTCTTTTAACATTGCTTCTATATTCAAAAGCATTTTATTTTAACTTGACATATGTTGATGTGTAAAGAGCACATGTATGTAGAAATATGTGTTATCAACACTTAGCTTGACAGAATGTTTAATTTCAACACCAAATACAGCAATAATATATATATATATATATATATATATATATATATATATATTTCCTTCTGTTTTAAAAGACATTTCATTGATAATCGAGAATCATGCTGTTTCTTCAATCAAAAATTCAATCTAAAGCTTTTCTTAAAAACATTTAAAGCTATGTACACTAAAGATCTATGAAAATACAGTAAAAAGTCATTGTGACAACTACAAATACTTAGCTGCAGTTGCATATGATTACCAGAAGAGGGTAATCTATTATTAGAGTTCAAACATGAACAATACCCACGTTTAATTATTTGTCCATGTGTAGCGACGTATTCAATAAGGCTCTTTGCCAGCATGTTAGTGCTTGACTTTATTGCTGATGCCCTCTAAGTACGGGCACAGCTGGCACTAGAGGACATTTCACCACTTTACGTGGACACAAACATTGTGCAACTGTGTCAATATCCTAGTTGTCAGGTTTATGACACCATATAAAAATGTGCAAATAATCAAACATCGTCAAACATATCTGCTCCGACATAACAGCGTCAACTTTTAAAGCTTTTTCCACCTCAGAGGTAAAGGTAAAACAATCAAAGATTGTATGTTTTTTTTCCATTATC